GAGGAATAGTGCCCCATCGTTAGTGTCAGTGGGGGGGAGAGGAGCGGCTGCTCCTTCTTTCAGTTCGGCAGCTTGATTTTCGTGGGGCCGTTTGGCTCCGCCTCCTCGCCGGTGATTGGTCGCCTGTGTGCGCTGGCGCCCAATCACCGGTAAGGAGGCGGAGCCGAGCGGCTGCGCGACCATCGAGCGGCCGAACTTAAAGAAGGAGCAGCCGCGCTTCCTGGACCGGATCATCGTGGGACCGGGACCGGAGCCAGGTAAGGTACAGCAGCCCCTCTGCCCACCCCTGTACTTAGTGTCCGTTGGAGGACACCGCCCCTGGAAAAAGTGCCACCCTGACACACCGGCTTGCCGATAAGACGACCCCCGACTTTTCAGAAGATTTTCAGGGGTTGAAAAGTCGTCTTATACGCCGGCAAATACGGTACATACTGATAGAACAGACTGGCATGTATTAAATGTAACCATTAGGTGCTAACACTGATATCAAGTTCTTAACATTGCAACATTTGTAAACAAAGGTAAATTATACATTTGATCTTTACTTCTCTAGCCTGGGCAATTTAAACTAGTAATATGCTATAAAAACATGAAGTTGTATTTAGAAAAAAAACACATACAAATATCCAGAGACACACATTACTCTAGGTCTATGGAAAACATGGCTTTTCTTTCCATCTACAGAGCCTAAACATTGCTGGTCAATGAGCCCTTCATAAAGCAGCAGGAAGGCTTGGGATGCAGGAGGGGACACAGCCATGCTCCGCTTTTATACCAGAGATTTGTATATAAAACTTTAGCTGCCTAAACCTCTGTATGTACTACTACAAACATGTTGTTTTCATATAAGTTTTGCTGATTCCAGTGATTAGTAGTCTACACAGGGAATTTCTTTCCCTTCTGGCAGTTGAATGAAATGACATTGAAGTGCAGGTAACCATGTGCTGCTAGGGAGGACTGCATTTAAAGTAGACATAACACCTTTACTGGAAAAATTTCCATTAACGCTTTGGCCATCAGTTGTTTTTGCATATAATTTTTTTGCATCCATGCTAAAATGCATATAGTTTCAGGAAGCAGAGACCCTGGAGAATAAAATGGTGGCAGATAAAATATTTTCTGTCACACAATATTAGTATAGAACCCATATTTTCAGAAAAAAAGAATGCTAAAGATAGTTTCAGTGCACACAAATTCAATACATTACCAAATGTTTTTGGTAAAGTAAACAAGATGAGGGGGAGTTGAGTAAATGGGTATCAAACCTCAAACTTAAAAGATAAGTTCACCTTTCATAGCATGTTACACCCATATTCAAGGTATAACATGTGAAATAACACCCCCCCCCCCAAATCCACAGGGGATCTTCTCCCTTGCTATCTCTCAAGATTAAAAAAAAAAAAAAAAAGCAGTCACAGTATTCTGTAAATGAAAAACTACAAGTACCGACAGCCTTGGCGGCTGTTGGCTTGTAGTTCGCAATAAACTACCACGGCGCTGTTAAGCGCCGTGGTAGTTCATTGACTCTGTCAGTGAGTTTCGGCTTGCTCATACAAAGTACGAGCACAAAGATACACTGACAGGTTTGCAGGAGTCCTGCATAGCACCAGCGATCTGCTAAAAGCTGGTGCAATGCCTTCCAGGCTCCTACAACAAAAAATAATAAAATGCACATTTTTCTACCTGCAAAAAAAGTGTGACAGACCCAACCAGGATAGGGGCTTTTGGAGGGGACTGCAGGCTAGCCTCCTGTCTACTGACCATGGCCCTGGCATCTGAGGGGGCTTTATTCTTTGGTGGGTGCCTGGGGGGACCTATGGAGTAGTTTACATCAAATTCAAGTTCATGTCTCCCCAAAACACACAGACTCAGAGAACTGGAGGACCAGAATACAGATTTGGGGTCTCTGTGCCCAAACCAGCATTGACTGCTTCACCCCTCCCCTTTCCTAGGCTCAGACTCTAAAAATATAGTGATGTAATTAGCTCAAAACAACCTCATGCTCTTGCGCTAATCTGTTTATTAAGGTATTATGTGTTTACTCTCTTCTCCCTTCCCATGCCTCCTAGGTGTGCATTCCCATTGTTAATTGAGTCACCTGTTTGTCTGTTGGCAAGTCCTTCTTGAGGTGCCTACGTGATAGGATTAGACTGATGTCAGCTTCACCTTGTTATCTAATCAGTATGAGATGTTTATCTCAATGTGTAATATTTGTTTTATTGTGGGGACTGCCCCTATTTTCTGGAGTGTACTAAAACTGTATTTCTGTTCAATAAAGTAGTTCCAGGTTTGGCATCTAAGCTAGTCTCGTCTAGTCTTGGGTGCAATGCCTGGCTAGAACACCTTGGTCCTGTGTGCCAGTGGCAAGGAAGCGGTTCTTTGATGAAATCACCCAATCGGGGTGACAGGCGTTCCGCCACATTGAACCTGTCCTTTAAATGTGCCCATGAAACGGCAACAAACTTCAGTACCCAAATTATCCATATGTGATTCTATAAAAGCTTTACAGGCCATCTATGTAGACCTAACCATGAATGATAGCCTTAGAATTATTGCTCTCACTCCGTTCAGGGTAATATCCAATATGAAAATGATGATTGTATTACATATATGTGGGCATACAACATGTACAAATTTACATTCGAAAGTGCGTGCACATTGGGTGGGAGCTTATAAATTCTTGAGAGGGGGTAATTTTTTTTTTCTTAAATTTTAACCAAGTTTCATTTTTCTCCTCCTTTTTTTTTAAATCTAACTTTAATGCATCACAGAGGGGGACTGAAAACCGAAAATGAAAAGTCCTTTAGACCACTAATGTCAACTTTGCACTCCATCAAAGCTGATCAAGCACACATGCTTGATTAGCTTCTTCCCCAGCCACAGCAGCAAGGAATGGCATCTTTGAAACTGGAAGTGACAAACTGTTTGTGGCTTCTGGCTTCATTCAATAGAGGGATGATCAGCAAATAATTACTGATAGTCCTCCACTCTTCCCGCTGACAGCTGTTATGAGTGTCTTGGGTGCCCAGGAAGGGCAGCTAAGCTTTCCATCCACCAGAATAATATTCACTAGAATGCTGACAGCCAGCAGAAGAGATGTACGCACACTTCCAGCTCCTCTAGCAGCACTATGTCTGTGGATGTGATTTGTGTTGTGAGCAGGGCTGTGGAGTCGGAGAAAATTTTGGGTACTTGGAGTCGGAGTCAGCAAACAATGCTCCGACTCCGATTAAATTTAGATTGGAATTGAATTGAACTCTACATTGAATTGATTTGCATTTGCTAAGCCTATAACTACATTTCAAGATTAATATAAACCATTTCTAGGTTTTACAGATTTTGTTTTTGGTTCATATAGACAAGCTTTGTTTTTGCTCTAAAAAAACAAATAATGTGGTTTGTATTTTTGGACTGGTAAAGTTCCTGTTCCTGATGTTTATGCCTGCTGCTACTATCCAGTCACTTGTTTAATAAAAAAAAAAAATGTATAAAACTTTGTTGTTTTCATTGTGTTTGTCTTTTGCTTAAACTGTTCAATACAGTAGACTGTTGGCTTCCCAGCCAGTAGTCCTGTGGTAGTGACATGTATGTTGCCTTTCTTTCCTTCAAGGAATGTATAAAATACATTCGCATATTAATACAGAGGAGTCGGAAGTACAAAAAACTGAGGAGTCGGAACATTTATCTACCGACTGCACAGCCCTGGTTGTGAGCATCTATTTGGATGCCTTGTCTGGGTGAGAAAGAAGTCTAGAACTTGTCCCACAAAAAAGTAATTGAGAATTTAAAAAATATGTCCAATGGCCCAATAGGGGGGCGGAATTATGTAAATTCGCTGAAGAGGGTGAAGAACCAATTTAACCACTTGCCCAAAAAAAGACCGACAATTCTGGAAAAAAAAAATATATTTTTTTTACTTTTTGCTATAAAACATATCCAGTAAAAAAATGTAAAAATAAAATTTCTTTATAAATTTAGGCCAAAATGTATTCTGCAACGTCTCTGCCAAAATAAAATCCCAATACGTGTAAATTAATTGGTTTCCATGAAAGTTATAGCATCTACAAATGGCGGTATATATACTGGGATTATTATTTATTTATTTTTTAATACTAGTAATGTCGGCGATCATCAAATTATAGCGGGACTGCAGCGGGCATTCTGACACTGGGGGGAACTGTCACATCCCCAGTGGCACTAATACAGTGATCTGTGCTAATAAAAAGCACTGATAATGTACTGACACTGGGCAGGAAGAGGTTAACATCTGGGGCAATCAAAGGGTTAGCCGTGTGCAGTGTGTTTTTACTGTGTGCTGTGTTTTACTAGAGAGGCATGCGGTTTTGTATTGCTCTGCTAAGCAACGTGCTGGCGCTGACAGGGGAGAGATCTGTATTGTTTACATACAGACCTCTCCCCTGTCAGTGTTTCTCAGCGTTTGATGCTGGTGAGGAATCACCAGCCAGGACCCGGTGATCGACAGCAGTAGCCACCAATAGCAGCGTGGGTAGGGCACATGCCCAGAAATACAAAGTCACGTGTATATATGCACACAAACATGATTTTGAGCAGCCCTGGTGCCCTGTAGCAGTAGTTCTACTATAGGGCAGTAGGAAAGCGGTTAACTTCCTGTCCTATAGACATAACAGGAAGTGAAAATAAATCTCTGCGAAATGAAGAAAGTTCCCCCCTGAGACAGCTATACCCAGAACAAGTGTCCCCAATAGACGATTTCCCCTCTGTTCCTTTTCTGGTGACAACTCAGTGGATTTCTTATCGGTTTCAGCCCTGGTGACACCAGTAATTAGGAAAAACAGGGCAAGAGACAAAATACCAAGTGGGGCCAGGGTTCCAACATATCTTCTGAATCTTTAACAGAAAATAAGATCTCCAGGTAAGTTTTTACGTGAACACGTTGTTCTGCCCTCCATGGACAAATACCACGTTTACTGTATCCCCCCTCCTTATGGCTATGTACAGAAGACAGGTAAGATACCCACACTCATGCTTCTTGGTAACAGCCGGGTACTTGGCCTTCACAGCCGCCTGCGCCTCGGTAATTGTATAATAACGTTCGTCCATGGCTGGACACTTCCACAACGCTCACTTCCGGGTCCCAGGACTTCCTGTCACATGCCTGGACTTCCGGGTTGTGTTTCACGCCGCTGCCATTTTTTTCCTTATAAGATGGGACAGAGGAGGCGCTCAGTGCCGTCCTATAACAAGCCGTTGTGGCTTATAGCACTCAGCCTCTTCCAAAGCCAATGTTAAATAACCGGAACACGGCTGCTGAATGGAGAACACAAAAGAATAAACCTTTTATTTCCATTGACATAACCCCGTCCTTGCCTACTGATGATATTCCTTCACTTATACCAGACCTGCCACAGGCCAGCGCCTCACGCCTCCTTTTCTGCACACCGCTCTCCTGGTTATTCCCAGGTTGCCATGGAAACGACAGGTCCCGCCTACTGAGCCGCACGCCTCGACCGAAAATTCCCTCACATTTCTCACCTCAAGGACCGCCCACTCGGTGACGCAAGGTTTCTTCATTCGTCGCCGCGCTTGTCTCCTATTGGTTCGGGTTGGCGCGAAGGTGCGCGACTCCGAGACACGGGGGAGGCGGGAAACAATAGCAGGAGGAGCAGGCCGGAGCGCCGGGTATTCTGGTAAGAAGCTGGCCTGAGAACCCGGGGCACTGACCGGCGAGAGAAGGTCTGCGCGGCAGAGGACACGGGCTGCTTTCTGAGAGCATTATGGCGGACAAGGAAGGTGAGTGCTGACAAAGTTGGCTGCTGTGGAGGGATCCCTGACCGCGCCGGACAGCCTGTAGCTGCTGGAGGGCCCCGAGTGACCAGCCAGTGTGGGTGTATGTCCTGTGTGGGAGTTCTAGGCTGGTCAGGGAGATGGCGGGCTCCTCCGCAGACGGTTTTTATTAATAGAGCGGGAGGCTCCTCACCTCCATGTGCTCTAGTCAGAAGAGTGAGTTCAGAATAGGGGAACTATAGGCACACTGTAGCGTTCAATTCTAGGCTGCCCAGTAAGACCTGCATTTCTCAATGTCTGCCCACCCCTGCAGTGTTCGCTCATACCTGTTGATCCTGCCAACAGAGGCGAGTGGATGACATCACGAGCTTCACTTCCTCCAATCAGAGGAAGCTTTTATATTCATTCATCGAATGTAAAACTGCCTATGAATGGCTGTGCAGTCTGCAGCCAGCCTAACCCTAGCTTCACACCGAAGTGTGTTCTGTTGTGTTTTGCGGAAGCGCGGTACAGTCCATTTAACATGATTTCCTATGGGACAGACTCGCATCTCTGCGTTTTCATCCAGTGCATTTTTTGGAAAGGGTCAGAGACTTTCTTGAACACAAAACGTTGCGTTTTTGGTTCTGTAGACTTCAGTGGGAATGCTACAGAAAAACATGTATTGCGCTTGTTTTGCGTATAAAATCTGCCTCGTAACAAGAAAAAAAAATGATTAAAAAAAAAGCAACACAAAGTGCACCTAATGCAACCTGCATAGGTGTGAACCTAGACTAACACAGTTCCAGGTGTGGAAAGGGAAGTTCCAATCCTGCTGCCAGAACACAGCGCCGTATACTGTATGTAGTTTAGACTACCTATAGTTTATATGGCGCACCCAGCAGGCTCACTTGTTGGTAGTATAGAAAATAGTTTGCGCCAGCTTGGCCCAAAACTGGTAGTAAAGGCTAAGATCAGCATTAAAGCATAGCTCCACCCAAAAGGGGAAGTTCTGCTTTAAGGACTGCTCCCCCGCTCCGCACCTTTGGGGGGGGGGGGGGTACCCGCTCCCACTTCCTGTCCGATCGCCTATGCAATCGGAAACGGTAGGTGTCCTCCCTCCCTGCAGTCTTTTGGGACACATGACCGGTCCCAGAAGACTACAGGACAATTCACGAAGCGCAGCGTTACTCACGCATGCGCAGTGGGTACCCGGCTGTGAAGCCACAAACTATCACAGCCGGGTGCCCACACTGAAGATGCCGGCCTCCTGGAATACAGGACGGCCAGTGAAACGTGTTGCGGGGGACACACCACGGGACCGAGGGACAGGTAAGTGGCTATTTTTTAAAAGCCACTTACCTTTAAACTCCGTTTTAAAGCCCAACTTCAGGGAGACTTGACAGTTCTTCCTTGCAGTTTGACTGCTCCTTGTTTAGGTGTAGGGGGGGGGGGGGCATAAAAATAGGTTTGCTTACCTGCTCCTCTGCACTGCTGGACCACCCCAACCTCCCCCACTGTGTTGGCTTGTCTAGTCTGCAACAGTCTAATGTTATTGAGACCGATGTAGGGTTCACAGCCCTTCATTGGATGCGATGATGCCAAGAAACAGTCCTTCAGCTGTCTGCAGAGGGGGGGGGGAGGGAGAGAGGGGGGGGGTGGGGGTGGAGGAAAGTAAAAGTGCTTTTACTCTCCTGTAGACTAAATGAGAAATTTAAGCGGACCTTCAACAAGAGGGGAAATTTCTGCTTCTCCACCTCCAACCCTCAACACCTTTGGGCACATTTAGTTTACTTTTAAGAGCTGGGTACCTAGTTTTGACAGGTGTCACCACTTCGTATGGATGGTCTAGGTCAGTGGTGGGCAACCTTTTTTTTCAACTGAGCCAAATCTCGCCAAAACCACGATTGAAATTTATTTTGAGAGCCACATTTTTAAAACTGAAAATACATAGGATGGTACACTGTTTTTAGTTTCAATAAGTTTTTATAGTAATTCCTCCCCCCTATAGTAATTCCTCCCCCCTATAGTAATTCCTCCCCCCTATAGTAGTAGTAAGTAAGTAGCAAGTAGTAAGCCAAGTCCCCCCTGTGTCAATTCACTTACCTTTGCTCCGCGCGTTCCTCTCGCCGTGTTCCCCGCGCCGTTCCGGTCTTCAGGGCAGACTGTGAGAGGAGCCTAGCTCCCCTCACATTCGTCACGCTGCCCCGCCTACACACATCCTGACGGCCAATCACTAGCTATCAGGATGTGAGTGGCAGCGAGACTGGCCAATCATTGCTGGGCTAGCTGCAGAGTCCTCGGCCGCCCGAGAGGAGGGAGGGGGAGCGGGGCGCCCGGCACACAAAGAGCCGCATTAAAATGTGTAAAGAGCCGCATGTGGCTCGCGAGCCGCGGCTTGCCGACCACTGGTCTAGGTCAAGGGTCTCCCAACTTTCTAAACAGGGCCAGTTTATTGTCCCTCAGATTTTATGGGGGCTAGACTTTAGCCATTGGGAGGAGATCAGGTCCCAGAGTCAGTGGAGAAAATCCATGCCCCATCCTTGGTTTCAGTGGGAGGAATTGTTCCTCTTTGTGTAGGTGGGAAGAGTTGTGCCCCATCATTGGTGTCTGTACAGGGATGCTGAATTCATATCGCCTGACGCCCGGGACATGTAGTTTCTTTTTTTTTTTTTTTTTTTTTTTTTTTTTTTTTTTTCACCTTTAGCCCTGCTGGCAAGCAGCAGGGCTCGCCTGTCAGGTGGAAGCATTCTGGCGGCAGTGCTGCTGCCCCCCGATTGCTTTCACACAGCCCACTATGTCTAACCCACTAATCCCCGCCATTTGTCCCAGGCTCCACTTGCCCATCTGTGGGCCCGGGACCAGTCAGTGGTTGCCTGCAGGTATAGGGGAGGGAGGAGAACGGACACATCCGCTCCTCCCCTTGTCTTGACCTGGATGTAATGTGATATCAGGGTCTCCATTGACAGATTCCCAGCCAAAGAGTGCACTGCAATACATTCAGTGGAGCACAGGGGAGACATGCCAGGGTCTTTTAGACCCTGGATGTCTCAAAAAAACAATGAGTTACACCCAAGCATATAACCCCCCAAAATTTTCAAGGCACCCCCACATATACGCACGTTCAAATGTAAAAGCTTGCGCTGGGGCGCCTGTATATGAAAACGACGCATGCGATATAAATGTTACATATTACTGCACACGCCAGAATGAGAGCAACAATTCTAGCACCAGACCTCCTCCATAGCACTAAACTGATGACCTATAAGAGGCCTTAAAAGCATCGCCTATAGAAAATATAGGGTACTAGAGTTTGTTTCCATTTCACGAGTGCACGCAAATTTAAGGTTTGACATGTTGGATATCTATGTACTCGATGGAATCGGTGGATGAAATCGTACCGCAAGGGGCCGCAGTTTGGAGACCACTAGTCTTGGTGACCCAATCAAAAGTTTGGCCCCAACTTTCTTTCCCTGCAGCTTTCGGGTATACATCATATGTGCGAGCGAAGTCACTAGGACTCTCGGCTGACTTCCAATAGTAAAGATGTTAGCCCAGGCGACCCGAAGACCAGTGAAGAAAAACTGGCCGGGTGAGGACAGCTCTGGATCCCTGGACAGGTAAGTGTATTAAGTTAGTAGCTACAGTATTTGTAGCTGCCGTTTTTTTTAAATTTTTTGGAGGGGCCTCTTTAACCATTTGCCCTCCAGAAGATTTACCCCCCTTCCTGACCAGGTAATTTTTTTACGGCGCTGCGTTACTTTAACTGACAATTGCGCTGTCATGCAACGCTGCACCCAAATTAAATTTACGTCCTTTTTTTTTTTTTCCACAAATAGAGCTTTCTTTCAGTGGTATTTGATTGCCTCTGCATTTTTTATTTTTGCCCTATAAACAAAAAAACCGACAATTTTGAGGAAAAAAAAAAACTATTTTTGACTTTTTGCTATTAACCACTTGCCTACTGGGCACTTATACCCCCTCCTGCCCAGGCCAATTTTCAGCTTTCAGCACTGTCGCACTTTAACAATTGTGCGGTCATGCAACACTGTACCCATATGACATTTTTATCATTTTTTTTTTTTCCACATGAATAGTTTTCTTTTGGTGGTATTTGCTCGCCACTGGGTGTTTTTATTTTTATTTTTTTGCTATAAACAAAATTAAAAAAAAAGTTTCTTTGTTTCTGTTATAAAATTTTGCAAACAGGTAATTTTTCACCTTCACTGAAGTGCGTTGATGAGGTTGCACTGATAGGCGGCACAGTTAGGGCTGTACTGATAAGCAGCAATGATGGGCACTGACGGGGGGGGCTCAGCGACCACCGGGTGCCAGCGAATAATCACCTGCCGATACCCGGTGTTTGACAGCCGAGGCTGCAAATGGCGGCACGGGTAGAACTTGCGCCTACTCGGAAATGCAAAATTGTGTGTATATATACACGTGATTTTGCGCACCACTGCCACCCTGTAGTATTTTGTGCTAAAGGGCGGCAGGTAAGTGGTTAAAGGACACTTTCACCTTTGGGAATGTGTTACATGTTCCACCTGTTTTTAGGGTGGAACATGTAACCTATTTCCACTGCGTCAGCCACTCGCCGATCTGCTCTTCCTGTGACAGCAGTACAGGGATAAGTTCTCTGTACCAGCGTTCACTTTTTGGAAAGTGTGGCCATGTGTGCAATATCTTTAATAAAACTTTATTAAAAATGAGATCTAAAAAAGTTCTATTGAAGAATTTGCACAAGACTGGTGCTGTTTTTTGTATTTTACATGGGTTCACTACTGTCAGTGAATAAGGCATGTTAGCTACATCAACATTGCTCTGTCAAACAGAGCTTAGGGCTTAGCCATCTAGCAAGGTGCAGGAGAAATCCAACATTCCAGCTGTATTTATCGTTGAAAAGAAATTACCTAAGTTTATACGTTTACCATACCAACTTGCTTTGAAAGTGCCCAGTTGTCACTTTGAATGGAAAAAATTTATTTAAATGTTTGAATAGACTTTAATAATGTGTTTTCTGTTTCTGGGCACAGCTGCTTTTGATGATGCTGTGGAGGAGCGGGTTATCAATGAAGAGTACAAGATCTGGAAGAAGAATACTCCCTTCCTCTATGATTTGGTAATGACCCATGCCCTGGAGTGGCCCAGTCTAACAGCCCAGTGGCTCCCAGATGTCACCAGGTGAGTTTCTCGCCCAAGTAACAAAGGTCCTTCATAGGAAAAAAAAAATTATTAAATTTTTCTTTTTACCTTGAAAGCTAGTTACAATTAAAGTGTTCTATACAGCCAGTTTTTAGCTTCGGAGCATGGGAATGTGAAAACCCACTCTTCCTATTTTTGGTAGCTTTTCTGTATATGCAAAAAATATCTGTCGACCATATCGTAAAATCTTCACTGCCTGTGCAGTCTATGGTCTGCACACTTCATTCTTACCAGTAACACTTCCAAGCTATGTCTGTGGACTATAGAACACTTCTTTTTTTGTTAGAGAAGGTGTTGTGCAGCTCTGTCTTAGGGTGAAAATTCTGCTTCTCCATAGATGCTGTATGGTAAACATAGCCTCCTAGGATAGGAAGTGTGTTACCTGGTGAAAAGGTTTTCCTTTCTGCCACACTTCCCAGCAGTCCAGTGCCGTCACACAATAGTGGGGAAAGTCCTCAGCCTTGTGTAAGCCTAAACTGTTGGGACTCACACAGGCATGGCACAGTGAAGAAATATGAAGAGCATTAAAGTGAACTTGTTGCTGTTCACTGCTTGAGCAAAGCACGGGTTTACTTTAAAAACTAAAGTGAAGGATTTTATTTACATTATGTTTGTGCCCCAGTGCTGCTAAAGAAGTGTAAAAAGTGGACCCTTTATGCAATGATTATAAATGTTGATTTGCTACCTTCAGATCTCACAAAGGTAGTTATTTGTTGCATGCTGTGGTATACAGTAAGTATGGCCATTGTATCCTGCTTCAAGAAACTATCAATAACTGAGTTCTAGGTGCTGTCATCACAGATTACTGCTTTTTATTTATTTAGCTAACTGTTTGACATTTTTACAGACCTGAAGGAAAAGATTTCAGTGTCCATCGCTTAGTTCTTGGAACTCACACCTCTGATGAACAGAATCACCTTGTGATTGCCAGTGTACAGCTTCCTAATGATGATGCCCAATTTGATGCATCTCACTATGATAGTGAGAAAGGAGGTTAGTCCAGGCTGTAAGAATCTAAAATGTGCCCATAAGTGAATTGCTACTCAATGCAGATTTATTTCACAATCCTTAGGATGCATGCTCTAACCTTCACTACTATGCTGGGCTACTGCTATAACTCAAAAAAAGTGCTGCTTCCATATGTAATGCTCACTTGACACTTGTCCTTTCCAGTGCTGTGGAAGGTGCGGGGTGCATGCTTAGCTCTAAAATGTCTATTTTCTGAGTCTGTATTTGTTGTGAATCAATCTGAAAATTTGTTAAGGCTGGTCTGAGCGGTTACTGCACTTTCTATCAATGCTCAAAATAAATTTTCTACAGGTGAACTAATGCACCATCACCCTCTGTGAGGAGGGTGTCCAATAAGTCCCCCGAATAACAAGTGTGAAACAGCAATTCAAGTCCTGAGATGAGTTCTGCCTAAAGTTTTCCTGCAATAAATTTTGCATGTGTCTGATGCATTTTTCTTCTAACCTTTGCAGATTTGGAGGCTTCGGCTCAGTCAGTGGAAAAATAGAAATTGAGATTAAAATTAACCATGAAGGAGAGGTAAACCGAGCTCGCTACATGCCTCAAAACCCCTGCATTATCGCAACTAAAAACACCATCCAGTGATGTTCTTGTGTTTGACTACACTAAACACCCATCCAAGCCAGGTGACAATTTTTAGTAGTTTTAATGTAATGTCTTGTAGTAAACATGTATAGGTATATCGATTTATGCTGTGAAGGTTATACAGTTTTATTTCCTGCAGTTAGGTGAAATTTTATAGCAAAACACTAGAACGGTCTGCAATGCAAATCTAACCGCTTCCCGCTTGCAGCTTTGGGCGGTAGCTGCAGGCAAAGCGACAGTACCCGTACGTCGCTTTGCTCTTCCGGGTAAAGAGCTCGCATGCGCGCCCCCCCCCCCCCGCTGTCATTCGTAGTAGGATGTGTACGTCAGCAGGTCTCTGCCATTGATTTTGGCTCGGACTCTGCTGATCTACAGTGAATGGAGATGCAGAGCTGTGCCTGTATTTGTAAATACAGGCACAGGGTCTAGCTGGTTCTTCTCTCCCTGGAACCATTTTGTTCCAGAGGAAGAAGAAATATCACACGTGAGTAAAAGCAGCACACTGCACCCACACACTAGACATTTTAACCCCTTGATTGCTACATGTAACCCTTTGTCCCCTGCCACCCTGTCAGTGCCATTAGTACAGTGTCAGTGTACAATACTTTTCACTGATCGCTGTATTAGTGCCAATAGCGATGTCAGATAGTGTCAGGGTCAGTGTCCCTCCCAGCCAAGGTCAGCTAGTGTTAGATTGCCCGCATACTATTGCACTCACGCTATAGGTCGCTGATCACCCTCATTACTAGTATAGTGTTTGTACGGATCAATATGTTGATCACGAACAAAACTATACCAGTGCCCCCTTAGTATTAGTGTTCCCAAAAATGCAGTGTTGGCAGGATCATCCCCGTTCGCTGCCAATACTAGCATTTTCAGTGTCAGTATAATTTCTGATCACTGTCACCTGTAATACATTGCACACAAAACCGCAGTGTTCACCGTATTAGGCCTGACCTCTGTTAGCACTTGTCAGTAAAAAAAAATTTTTTGTAGCAGTTCAAGCAGTCCCTGACAGCCAGATGCTCTTTTCCCGTGAGTCGCACTAGGTACCTGTAAATTTAGAGTCCAAAATTTCCAACGATAAGTACACTAGTGAAGACTTCTCCCCATACTATCTGTCAAATTTGAAAACCACGTGGCTGTGCTGGGCTCCACCCACACGGCTGCATCACTCATTTACATAGTTCTGTAAATGAGTGCCTAAAAGTCCCGGCAGCCTTAGCAACTGTTGGCTTGTAGTTTTCATGAATTGCCACAGCGCTGTGGAACGCCGTGGTTAGTCATTGAAGACATTGCAGATATTTTGACAGGTCTGCAGGAGACCTGCATGGCTTTAAAGGCTCCTTTGGACAAAAAATAATGCACTTCTTTTTTTTTTTTTGTAAAAAAAAAAAATAGTGCATTTATTATGTTTGTCCAAAAGGTGAACTTATCCTTTAAGTCATGTTATGCAAGCACATTTAGTCACGTCAAGAATTTGGGCTTTCATTCATACCATTGGCCAAAATATTAATTTATTTTAGCAATTGAAATGAATGCTCAAGCACCAAACACACTTAGCGTTTAGGCGCATCAAGTGCTTTCAAATAAGCCTATTTTGAAATTGCAAGTGACTTTTTTTTTTTTTTTTCTGTCAATAAATATTCCTTTTCTAATATGACTGTAAACACCTATCTGTGCATGACCACATAGGCTGATATAGAGGAGCGTTGAGGCCTAAGACAAAAAGTAGAACACCTGTAAAAGTGTGTGTGGGTGTTTTTTTTTTTTTTTTTTTTTTTTTTTTTTCTCTCATCCTGTGTCTAAGGTCTAAAAATAAAGAATGGCAACAAACATCTAGGGAAACCGGGTGGCAGAAACAATCTGAAGATGTCAAAAAGGAACCCCATGTGAACTTTTATCACTCTGTCTTATAGACTGGAGAAAATTTGGCAAGGAGTGTGCAACGTGTTTTTTCCCTTTTCATGATATTTTCTTTAATTCTTGTTGTCTTGGCTTAGATCCCTCAGGAGAGTGTAATCCAGATCTTAGGCTTCGTGGTCACCAAAAGGAAGGCTATGGATTGTCATGGAATCCTAACCTCAGTGGAAATTTACTTAGTGCATCTGATGATCATGTAAGTAGTTAACATTGCTGTATTGATCTACTGACCTGGTATTTTGCAGGGATTTTGGTTTTGCCACGTTGATCTTATGATGCATAAGATTTGTTTATTTTCTACAGACTATATGCCTATGGGATATCAGTGCAGTTCCCAAGGAAGGAAAGGTTGTAGATGCCAAGACCATCTTTACAGGACATACTGCAGTGGTCGAAGATGTTTCCTGGCACTTATTACATGAGTCTCTGTTTGGATCAGTGGCAGATGACCAGAAGCTCATGATGTGAGTCTTCCTGATGATCATAAAAAGTCTTTAAAAACAGCATATGTAATCCCTAAGTATTCATTTTTTTTTTCTTTGTATGTTTGGCATCATACTGGCTGTGTACAATTTTCTTAAGCAAATGGGTTCTTATATGGAGATGTTGTCAATACCATCACATCCCTGCATGGACTGACAATGTAAAGCTGCTGGCAGCAATGATTTTCATTTGTGTCTTCAGTTGGCCCCTGAAATTTGTGAGCTTCTTTCTTTGCCTACTTGACTGAAGGAGCTTACACTCAGCTTCTGAACTGACTTCCCTTTTTTGTTCAAGTTTAAAAGGAAATACATTTTAGCCTCTCTGAAAAAGAACTTATGATACTATGAATAATTGTTAAAACCTCTTCGGTTTGGTTTGGGAACATTGGACCGGTCTATGGCTGGGTACCAGAAGGGTGGTTTTAAGTCTCCTGTCAAGCTAGTGTAATAGAGCTATCTTTTCTGAAATACATTTTCAGTTTTGGAGGTGTACTAGTTTTCCTCATGCTTATGTTGTAGGGGAAAGTCATTTCTTTTAAACCTTTACTGAGCCAATATAGCTCAGCATGGGATGGGCAACACCATTTTGGTAATCACCATGTATGCCTGGCTTTGGAAGCAAAACTATGTGAACCAATGCAGGAATGTGTTCCAATGCAGGAACTTTCAATTTTATGGTTTGTTACAGCAGTATAAAAGTTTGGTTCCTCTTGCATTTCTAGATGGGATACCCGGTCCAACAACACCTCAAAGCCTAGTCATTCTGTAGATGCTCACACAGCAGAAGTCAACTGCCTTTCTTTCAACCCCTACAGTGAATTTATTTTGGCCACTGGGTCAGCAGACAAGGTAAATAAGCATTATTTTTGAAATGTACAGTCATTGTCTTTTCGAAGGAGGTCTACAATACATTGTCTAAAGACAGCCATTGATCTTCTAATTGTATTAGGGTTGAACAAGATTTTTTTTTCTTTTTTTTATACTAGTAGATTGATTTATTTTCTTGCACATTGTTAGGGAGATCCTCTATTTTTTGTGTGACAAAAGTTGAAATCTGTGTGTGCAATGTTAAACCGTTAAATGTAAAGCTTCACTGTGGTTGTCTGGCTAGGACTGTTTCTTGTATTATCTCCCACAACCAAAAGACTGGTAGGTTATTGGGTTTCCATCCCAAATTTACATCTGGTGTTTGTAGAACTGGTAGTTATATCAAAAGTAAATTATTAAGCTGGCTTCACTTTTTACTATCTTGCTATTTAAATGCATAAAACCAATGTATGATGGGCTATGTTGTTTTTTTTTTTTTTTTTTTTTTTCTCCCATTACATTTTCCTATTTGTGTACAATTTAGAGCTGTTATCAGAAGAAGGTTGAATCTTTATCCACTTCACTGATCATTATGTAAAGTGCAGTAGGGCACAGCTATACAAGAGAGCCTACTGGAAAGCCATGGATGCTATTTTACTAGTTTTATCTCCCAAAACAAAAAGTATCTAATTATAGTTTTTAAAAACTTGTGGTGATGATGGAAATTTTCCCCCCATTTGGCATGTTAGTTTTCAAACTTTAACGAAATGTTTGACTGCTCTTTCCTTTTTAAGCAATTTACTTCATATCACACATTTCTGGTTCGTTCAGCACAGTAGTGCAACAAGCACTTATAATGTGCTTTAAAGGATAAGTTCACCTTTTTTTACAGATAAAAAAATTAGCAGTTGATAATTTTTGTCCAAAGGAGCTTGGAAAGCATTGCACCAGCGGGCGCGGCTGCAGCTATGGAAACATGTTCAAGCCTAAAAATCGGTGGAACATGTTTTAAAACAAGCTCAATATAATACTCAATGTATAAAATATAATCTTTGATATTTTACAAATTTATTACACCAAATAAATGGATTCCTAACATGTCACCTACCCCGTAGAACAGCGCCAAACTATGGTACCTAAAAATTTCCATAGGTGACGCTTTAAAAGCCTTTTACAGGTTACCAATTTAGAGTTACCCAGGAGACCTGGTGATAAATAATTGCTCCCGCTCTGACATGTTAAACAATTTCTCACGTGTGGTGCGATCACCGTGCGCAGTGCAGGACTTGCGTATGCAAATTTGTGCAGGAGGATGAGGGCATTGTGACATTTATTTTTACACTGTCCCTTTATTTTTATTAAGTTTGCTATCACAAGGGATGAGCAATAGTGGTTTCACAGTCGCACTCTTTAAAACATGACATTTACTCAGCGCAACCTCATCTTTTATTTTACCAAAATTTGCGATTTTATATTTCCTTTTTGGGCCCTAAAATTAACTTTAGTGTATTTTTTTATGAAAATGTTATGAATATTAAGAATTGGAGCTACCAAAATATTCTCCAGTGTCTGATTTCAGAAAATTTTGGGGGGGGTTTAAAGTTCCATGGCTGCAGCTGTCAGCCATAACCCCGGTACGTTTATTTATTTTATTTTTTTACAGCAGCCATTCTGCTAAAAGCAATCTGAGCAGCTGATTAGCCTCTGGATCGCTTTTAGAAGCAGCGGCTCTCCGGTGCGTTTTACTATTCCGATCCAGTGGTTGCTGCTAATGACAATAGAGGTGTTCAGGGACCCAAACTTCCCTGATCATCTCTATGGTCTGAGACCGGAAGCATCTGGT